ATACATGAATATATCATAATGTGTTTAACCAGTTTGTTGCTATTAGACTTCTAGATTAGTTTTTTATTTGCTGTTATAAATAACTACAATTCAAAAGGTTTATAGGTATTTTTGTACATCTACTTTTTAGACGCAACTGTATAGAATACTTGTTTGGTAAAATTTGTCATTGAAAATTTATATCATTAACACAAATTTATTTTCCAGCAGGCTCTGAATTCTAATTTATTGAAACCCCTGATAATAATAGTCATTATCTTTTAATAAATCTTTGTCAGTTTGAGTGACAAAATTATATGTTTGATTTGAATTTCTTCACATCAATTCAACTTTTTTTTTTTTTTATATGTCGGCCTTTTTTGGGTTCTTTTATGACTTTTGTTCACTGCTTAAAAAAACTCCCTCAAGTTTATATTCTGCAAATAATCTTTACCAGGTTGTTGTTTCCTCTTTATTCTTATTATGTTCTTTTTATGTATTTTGTTTTTACCTAGTCAGCTGTCTCAGTGTTAGTTTTACTTGTTTTCTTATTCTTTCGCTACCTAACAGTTAAATATTACCCCTTTTATTATTTTGAAATGTCCTTCTGTGTTTCCAGCAGTGTTTATTGTCTTTAAAATCTACTATATCCGATGTTAATGTGACCATTCCAGCACTTTTATGGTTACTTATTCTGTCTGTATCTTTAACCTGTTTGTATCTGAAACTAAACTGTGTTTCTTCGAGACAACATGTAGTTGGATCATGCTTTTTAAATCCTGTCTGACAGTGTTTGCCTTTTGATTAGAGAGCTTATTAGTCCATTTACATTTAATATAATTATTGATATGGTTGGTTTTTGCTCTTTGTTTTCTGCTTTTCATGTCATTTTTGTTCTTATCTTTTATTCTTTTTTTGTATTAAATATTTTATGGTGTACTATTTTTAATTCCTGTGTTATTAAAAAAATTAAAGTATAGTTGATTTTTATAGTGTGTTAGTTTCTGGTGTACAGCATAGTGATTCAGTTACATATATATACACTTTTCATATTCTTTTTGAGTATAGGTTATTACAAGTTATTGGATTATACATTTTTAATGATTTTTTAAAGTTATTTTCTTAGAAGTTGCTCTATGGATTATAATCTGCTTCTTCATGTATCACAGTCTACTTTAGGTGATTGCTGATATAGTTTTGATATAATATATAGAAGTAGTTTTGCTTCAGCTTAGCTCCATATCTTCCCTCCTCTTTTGTGCTATTCTTGTCATATTATATCTATATATTTTATTAACCCAACAATACAGTATTATAATCATGGCCTTTAAAAAATCTTGTTTTTTTAATAAAATTAAAAGAAGAAAAGAGAAAAACTTACATTAAGTATTATGTGTAACATATATTTGCTATTTTCTATGCTCTCTCTTTTTTTTTTTTTTTTTCCTTCTCTGTGAATTCAGGTTACTATCTGCTATCATTTCCTTTCTGGCTTTCTTTAGTATTTCTTGTAAGGCAGATCTGCTAGCAAGGAATTCTCTCCAGTCTTTGTTTATTTGAGAATGTATTTAATTTCCTTTTTTAAAAGATAATCATCAGCTAGTGATTTGTCCAGGGTGCTCAAACAAACTTGAACTAGTAAGGTGTCTATGCTTTTTGTCAGTGGACTTTACGTGGGTTAAGGAGTGCATAAAAAATTCAGGCAGTTTACAAGACTTTTGTTTTATGCCAGGCGTTCTCCTATGTCCATGCCTGTAGCCTCCTAGTTAGGGATGTCTGGAGTGTCTTGGTCCTTTTGGATGTCCTCTGTGTTTGTGCACAGCTTCTCAGTTAGCTAGAGGTAAGCAGAGAGCTGTCAGGTCCTTCTGTGGGTCTCTTATTTCCAGGACTTCCCTGTTTTTGGTTAGTCCTACAGTCTGCTCTTTGTCCTAACCCAGACGACTTTAGACCAGTAGAGCTGGAGGCTCTCCCTGTCCACCCCTCTCCTTTTTTTTTAGTACTGAGTTTGCTACTTTTCCTAACAGCACCACTCAATTTGGGATATTCACCCTCTGTTCCAAATCATGTCAGCCCCTAATGGTAGAGAAACTGCTGATATTCCTGACAAGCCCTAACCAGTGATGGACTGTGGGGGTGTTCGTTGGGTGGAAAGGGTGTTGAAAGTAGCCCCAGGCAAGAACACCAAAGAGTCCCTCTGTTTAGCAGTTTTCATGAATAAACCTTCTCAATTTGTTACTCTTCTTTCCAGAGTCCTTTCCAGTTTCCAGAGTCCTGAAATGGTTGTTTGGGACAGTTTTTTTCTAGTTTATATTTGCTTTCTGGACAGAAGATATGCTAAGCTCTTCTTGGTGTCATAGTTGAAAGTCTAGCCTTGGGTACTTTATTTTATAGGATGATTTTTATGGCATTGATATGATCATTTTGTATTTCCTTTTATTCTTTATGAATTTCATTGGTGGATTTTCTAAGTTTTATGTGTTCTTGGGATAAAATCTTTTTTTAAATTATAATTTATTAAATCATTTAATGCATATATTAATTTGTAATAATTTGACATTTATGTTTCCATTGATGTTTTTATTGAAACTTAATACTGGATTTGTCTTGATGTGCAGTGAAAACTAATTCAGGCTAGAAATTTTGCCAGAGGAATATATCTGTGGCCCTAAAGAAAGGACTGAGTTGCACTAAAGGTGATACAATTCCTTTTATAGGCATTACCCTGCACTGAAAACTCTGGAACATCTAGAGCACACGTACCTGCCTCAAGTAAGCCACTATCGCTTCTGCAAGGTGATGGTGGACAATATCCCCAAGCTCCGAGAGGAAATTAAGGATGTTTCTATGTCTGATCTCAAAGACTTTCTGGAGAGTATCCGCAAACATTCAGACAAAATTGGAGAGACTGCCATGAAACAAGTAGGTCTTGGGTTTATGACAGGTTGGCCAATGACTTTGCAAGTATTTTGTTAAATGCGGGTTTCTCTTTGTTTAGTGTCTTAACTGTTTCTTGTCATTTTAAGTCCTTCATCTTTATGGGAACACATGGTTTAAAAATGTTTTTCATTTTCTTAACAGAGCAATGAATTACTAGTATATTGTTTTGCTCTGTGTTTAGTAAATATTGTTAGATTTTGATGGTTTATTTTGGGGCTTTGTACTTTCCTTGACTTTGGATATGATTTGAAGCCCAAGTTTTTAAAAGTTCTCTTTCTAGTTAATGAGCTAAATTGTGTTGCAGGTACCGTGGTTGATTATTTACTATGGAAGCAACATGTATAACATTTATAACATTTATAACAACATTTATAACATATAGCAACATTTATAACATGCATGTTATAAATGAATATTTCTGTAATTGTTATTCCTGATATCAGTGGGTGTCAATGAAAACAGGCCTACTTGGAAATGCTGTGCATTATGATCACAGAAAGGGATTTATTTGCAGCTTACAAATTGACCAATGTGTTAGAAATATTTAGATTTTTTTTCTTTCAGTATCTTCATATTTAAGTTATGAAAGCCACAAGGAAATATGGGTTTACTTTGTTGTTATGAGTAAAGAACAGTAATAATTTGCAGTATTACTTGCTCTTCTGAAATCTAAGTCACGTTAATTTCTCAGTATACCTTGTGATGTAACCTACAATATATAGAAGATTCAGTTGTTTATGGAAAGTGCTTGTTTTGGTTCTATAGACAACTGTGTTCTTGAATAAATCATTTGTAGTTCTTATCACTCCATGAGGAAGGAGGGAGTAGGTCATATTTTGGATCATACTTTTGGTCTCAACTAGCCTTGGTAATCTTTCAGGTATCTATTTGATTCTGCAGGAGAAATCTGCCTATTGGAAATCCCTCTTCTAAGGGAATTTAGATATTCTTTTCGCCTTCTTTTAAATTTTCTTAACATTATACTTTACAAAATGCAAAGTTTAAAACTAGTTGATGATAAACTTGATGGAAATAATCATGTCTTTTTTTTAGTGGTGAAGAAATAGGATTAATCATTGAAAATATACTTTTGCCTTGCTATGTGTATGTTTTGAGTACAGGAATGAAGGCATCTTGTAAGATAAGTCTTTATTGTGGTTGATAAATTTTTTACTAAACTTTCAAAGTGTGGAAGAGTATAGTACAAAGCCGCTTTGGAATCTTCCTTTTTTAAGGTTGCTTTTTCTAGGCCTTTGCTTGAGAAATTACTTCCTTTTTGGTGAAAAGAGGGTTCTATGAAGAATATTATTATTTCATTTAATGTGAGATTATCTCTCCCATTAATTATTTGAAGAAATTGAGGCCCAGAGCAGGGAAGTGACTTGCTCAAGTTCAGACAGCTTGTCAAGGTCAGATCCTATAGTAGAATTCAGATTAGATTGAGATGAATTTGTCTACTATGGCACTTGATCTCTGTAAACTGTTAGCTGTGGGCTGTATTTTTGTCATATAAAGAGATGGTGAAGAAACCTTTTTGTGAATTTAGGACTTTTTAATTAACTGATAACCCATTATTCCTCTTATATGATTTTTCACCTTAAGTATAGCTGTTTCTGCCTGTGTTACTATCCTATGCTATGGTATATGTAGGATCCGTGAATAAAGATCTCTTACATGTTTTTAATTACATCCTGTAGTACCTAAAAAGTAAAGAGAGTAGGAGGGAGAGAAACTACCATACACATTGTACATAGTAAGCATCAAGAAATATTTGTTTGAATTCATGAATGTTGGAGAAGGGGAAGAGGATATGGTTTCTCTCTCACTTTTATCAAGCCCAAAATGCTATTTCTGATTTGTGATGATTTCCTTTGCAATGGTGATTTAAGGAATCTTTCCATTATGTGACTCTGCCACTTTCAATACAGCTTTGAAGATTGCTGCAGAAGGAAAAGGCCAGAGTATTGCACGTCATAGAATTTTTAAGGGCTAGGCATAGACAAGACACATCAATACTTGCACTCACATTTCATTGGCCAGAATTTAATTACATGGCCATTACCAGGCTGGGAAATATAAACGCACTGTCCCTAAGAGAAGGACACAGGTTTGGTGAATAGTAGCTAGTCTCTGGCACAGTCTGTCCTTTTGGTCCTCAAATATCTCTTCACTCTTCCTCTCATCCACAGAACGCACTTGCCTCTTCACTAAGGAATGTAACCCAATATCCCGTCTAGTTACTATATCCATCTCAAAGTCAGGTTCTAAGATGGTAAGTTATTTGCACCTGTGGCTCTCTTACCCTCAGTATACCATGAAGAAGCTAGAACAGAATAGCTACAACAAAAACTTCCATTTAGAAAAGGGAAGAATGGGAGATGTATAGTAAATCGTGATTTCATAGCAAACCATGTAATCCTTCTGGATTGCCACTGGGAAATCCTTCTGTCTTGGTAGCAGGGGAGCTTTCTTGCTTAGATGTTGACTCTCTGGGAAGAACTCCTTTGCCCATTGCTCTCCTGGGTTCCTGGCTGCATCCTGGTTTTTCTTTCCCTATTTCTTTCTGTGAACGTTTCTGAAGTGGATGCTAGGGAATATGCATTCCTTAGAAGATCTCTCTCTCTCTGTAGATTACACATGCATGTACATCTACACTTATATCTACAGCCCCATCTCTAGCTAGCTAGCTAGCTAGCTATCTGTCTGCCTGCCTATCTATCTATCTATCTATCTATCTATCTACCTACCTTTTAGTGCCTGCTTTCTGCTTCTGCAAGTTTAAGAGCCCAATGGTTGTTTTAAGGCTCTTAATAGTCAAAGGTTTATTTAATTCAGATTTGTGGGTTTGGGGCATTGTAATTACCTCAAAACTTAGCAGGCCTCTGATCTAGTTCTTCCCAATAGGTACCCAATGTTCTTTTTGGAATACAATTTTCAGGAATGATTTTATTTTTTTTCTTCTCTGTTTGGGGAGGTAGTGGAGTTGGGGGAGTATAGCCCTTGCCTCATATCTTTTTCTTACTTTAATAGCCCTACTTTGAGGCTATATGAAATAATGGATAAGGAAACTGTACCTGAATCTTATTTTGAGTCACTTGGTTCACCTACAAGTCTTCTTTGGACTTAATTGCTCAAACCTTTACCATCTTTTTTCTTTTACTATTTGGGATCTATATGTGTTCAGCTTTCTAATGCCCTGAAACCCAAGTTTCTGGACTTGTACGGTTACCTATAAATTCAGTTTGCAAATCAGCAAATTCTGTGCTCATCTCTTTTCTCTAATACCTTGCTAAAAGCAGAAAGCAAGTGTCAATCTACACTATAACTCTGTCTCTGCATTCACTTACTGGGCTACAGGCCCAATAGACATGTGGTGTGCCCTTTCATTTATTACAGCTTCCGCTTTTACTAGCGGCTTTGCCATGATATTACAGGTCTCTCCAGGCTTTCGGCTTGCCAAATATATGTTCTTGCTGCCTACTACCTCTAAACCAATGCCATTTATTTTAGGCTTTTTTGTTTACAGCAACCCCATTCTTCCAACACCAGTATCTGTTTTCTTTAAACAATGCCGCCAGTTGTAATAGCTACATTCTAAAATCTCACCGTAGAAATTTTATTTTTTGCTCACTTGAAGTCCAGAATGGGTGTTCCTGGTAGGGTAGCTCTTCTTCAAGTGACCGTTAAAGGGATACAGGACTCTTTCAACCTGTGAGTCCATCACTTCAACATGTGACTTTCAATATTATAGCAGTAGGGAAAAGAGTACATAAGGCCTGGAGATTGTTTTTTAATTGACCAGCCTTGTAAGTGATACATATCCCTGCTGCCAACATTGGCCATGGCTCACACACTGCAAGTGGAGCTTGGAAATACAGTCTATGTATGTGATCAGGAGAAAGAGGAAATAGATTTGGTGAATAGCTAGCTAGTCTCTGCTACAACCTGCTTTTATATAGCCTAGAAAAATACGTCTCTCCGTGTCTTTTGCCTTTTTCTTCACAATTTCATCTCTGACATTTCTCCCCCATACATTTGCCTTCTAATTTATTAATCCAGTTTTTAGTATTGTCAGTGCCGCTATTCAGAACTTTATCATCATCATTTTTAGTTCAGCAACCATAGTTTGGCTTTAAAAATGTATTCCTGTCCTTTAAGAATAAACTTCTAAGTAGCCTTCTTTGGAATCAAATGAGAAAACAGATTTGAAAGTATCACTTAATATTGATAGTTGGTCTGGGCCCTTCTAGAAGCTATGTAGATGGTTGTGCCTTTTCTTGGTGGACATCTTCCTTTTTCTTCTTCCACTCACCTTATCCTGAGTCGCTGCATTGATCCATGGGTGGGCTTCGTCCCTGGTACAGAGAAATGATGGAGGCAGTTGGTGGATTGGCTTTCC